AAATCAGATATGTAACTGTATAACTTGCATAATAAAGTCTACACCATAAATATATATATATATATATATATATATATATATATATATATATATATATATATATATATATATATATATATATATATATGCAATTGAGGATCAAGAAACACTGATAATTGGTATGCGAAAAAGCCACATAGAAATGGGAAAGGGAGATGGACGTTTCGGGTGATCAAAGTCATTGTCAACACCAGACTGACTGAGAAAAACAGAGCTAGGGTGGAGGCCAACAACTGCCTCCTAACCACCCATTCCAAGGAAAGGATTTACCCAGAAATATGTATAGATTAGCTTAGAACAGTCCGAAGGACCAGGCGGTAAGATAATAGGTATGAGAGATTAAACAAAACGGCCATTGAACAAACACATATTATATGATTATTATAATATAATGATACATTATAAGCACCCTATCAAAGTTTCTTCTTAAACTGTTGTGCAATATTGTAACTTAGTTAAAAAATGGTCACGTTTGTGCATACCAGTACTAACATTGAGAAGATTTGGGCACTGACAGATTAGGGCACATTCAATCAAATTCAATTCCTCGAAACCTCTGCAATTTTTAATGCTTTTCGCTCCTTCCCAATTAATAGTGTGCGCACAGATATTTGTGTGTACATGCAATGTATTACACGTTTGGGCAGTTAAAATGCTTTAAGCATGTTTTGACAAACGCACTTGTAATGATTTTCAAGTTTGTTCAAGGCACACAGACTCAAAATCATTGCAGGGAATCAAATACACACAATCTGCTGTTCCAGGGAAATTGTATTAAATTGAACTTGATCTTATTATTAATGAACACCAAATTTATATTAAAGTTCTTAAAAACCGGGAAAAGTTTTTCAATTCCTACCACATAAGGTACTACCAATGAGTTTCTAATTTCGCTTTGGGGACATGATTATAATACGTACGTTTAACTTGCCCGAACGAACAATCCAAAAACATCTTAGGGCATAGTAAATTATTCCCAATTTCATATATTTTGGTAATATCCTTATGAAAAAATTTCGGGGTTGCATACCCTCAAAGCTCGAAGGAATATTCCAGAAAATACTGCCTGTTTAACTTTACTATGATGATTCGAATGATAATGAACCTATGAGCCCACGTTGGAAAGTTTCCAATACACATTAAATTATAAACTTCTGTTGACTCTATGGATCATGATGTTCAAGAATGGAAGAGCAGCATTCTCCTCATTCTCACTAGTGAATTTTATTGAAGGCACCAAAGAATTAAGTTCATTAAGGGGGCATCAGTTCCAAATATGCAAAAAATATTCATTAAATGAAAACTAGTTCGATTTCAATCACACTTTTTTGACGAGTTGTATATGAAAAGGGTTTAATCTGCTTATAGTCTCAGCATCGTAGCATAAATAGGAAGGGAGAAAAAGTATTTAATTAAGTGTCAAAAATTTCCCAAAATGGTCAAAAATTTACATTAAACACATGTGTAAACGGAAATCATGTCTATGACTCTCAGCAATCACAATAGCATATAATAAAATATTTAATAATTATTTTTATCCCCCAAAAAATTTAGTTAATTTTTTTTTTAGTTTTTTTTTCCTTATTTGTTTATCGGTCGATTTACATGAAACTTATACACCTGACTGCACGTAAGCCTATCTGTAAGGCTGCCTATTTTGGAGGAAATTGGTTGATGTCAACCTCAGCCACACATGGCAGCACCTTAGACTTTATTTTTTACTTATTTATTTTCAAGTAACATAAACGTTCACATAACTCTTTCAGTTTTTATTCAATTAACATGAAACTTACACCTTATATGTAGAGTTTAGGTTTCTACAATCTGATCTCGGGATTTGTTTCCTAAGTTCATGTATTGATTTTATAATAGTAATAAACATGATATATTTGCATAATTTATGAGGGGAACTTTGACTATTTGTACTAGTAAAACTAAACATATTTTGGAAAATCTGCTGAAATGTTATCCTTTATTATATGCTAATGTGATAGAAGAGTGTCATAAAAAGGATTTCATTTGAAGCTTGTCATTGTAGAGTCTTATTGAAAATGTGTAAACGTCGTTAAAAAATCTCCCTCTCTATTTAGGCTGCTATACTGTAGTTTGGAACAATTGCAGCCCTTTTCATACACAACTAGTCAAAAAAGGGTTATTGACATTGAACAACGTTTAAAAAACTAACTAGTGCTCTGTAAGAAAACCTGTTTGGTTGTAGTCATCCGGCCATAAGCCGGGTCACTACCATAAACACAAAATATCATCGACATATCTAAACCAAACTACATTAGCAGGGATAATCCTGGAAAAGATTTTTGTTTCAAAAACCTCCATATACAAATTGATCAAAACTGGGCAAAGGGAATTGCCCATTGTCATTCCAAATGTTTGTTTGAAAATTTTTCCATTGAAACTAAAATAATTTTCTTTCAGACACAATTTGATAAGTGCCAACACATTACTGGTCTGCAAGCTCAAATTACGTTTGAGCAGTTCCTATCGTAGGAATTCCAACAAATTATAACCAGGTACTTCAGTGAATAAAGCAGTCACGTAAAAATTTACAAGTTTAAAATCAAAATTTAAATATAGTGTGGGTAGCTTATTAACTAAGTCTACATTGTTTGTTAAGTGTGAGTTGGAAATAGTACAAAGTTTCTGGGACAAAACTTTAACAAGCCACTTAGAGAGTTTATAAGCCGCCGAACCAACTAACTAAAAATCCGTCTTGCCGGATTATAAGTTTATGTCTTTTTATAAGACAATATATGTAAGGTAAAGGAGGGAGATCGACTTGAATGCCTAGAGATAAACCCTTTATCACCTTTGCACACAGTTTTGAGAGTTTTATTTAAATGTGCAATCACTTTTTCAGTAAGATCTCTGTTAACCAGTAGATAAGTGTCTCTATCTTCCACAAGTAACTCCATTTTCCGGATATAGTCATCCATATTCATAATGACTACTGCATTTAACTTATCAGTCTTTGATATATGTAATGAGTTATCTTTTTTTAGATTTTAAATGCATGAATATATCGACTTGAACAATTATGAACAGAATTGTTAAGTGAAACACCAAAGGTGTTTTGCATGTTAATTATTTGCATGTTACATGTTTTTGCACATGTTAATATCTTCAACTGAGACATCACTATACTTTTCAAGATTGCCAAAGGTTTCATCTTGCTATGCTCTTGCTATGCCTACTCGACACATCTCAGAACAAGGAGCTCCTTGTATGCTCGTCCGAGGTGCAGCTAAGTACCACACTCCGTGGGCAGATCAGCATCAGCCGTTGCCCAGCACACACGCTCACGATAGCTAGTTCGTGGTCCAATAGATATTATTATATTATGTTAATAAAGACGAAAAACGCTCCAGGTGTTAGTACGGCTTCCCTTCCCGCTGTCAAGAAAGCTGCAACCACATCAAACAACAATTAATACAGTTAACAGCTCAGTGGGATACAGCCGACGTACTCCAACTCCCGGCCCAGCTATCTGGTACAACTGCTTCACTGCAGCCAGCATCTTCGAAACAGCAGCTACAGCACAGCCGCCTGCTGGAGAAGGACGATACAGTGTGTATGTTTCCTGAACCACATGTACTAGTGCGCCGAGCCACAAGCCTCGTGCCCACTCTCACCCCTCACGCCCAGCCTCACGTCTCATGCCTATCCTCATGCCTCGCACCCAGCTTCACGCCTAGCCCCCAGCCTCACGCCCTCTCCCCCCGACCGTGACTCACCATGACTCACCACCTCTTGCCCGGCTTGATGCCACCCGACGCAGGGCCTGACGTCTCCTGCTGCGTCCCGACTCCGACGACGCCGCAGTACGACGCCAGACCTGTGACGACCTGATCATCCCTTCCTCGTTGAATGGATTGCAACACCAGTGGCCTTTAGATCTTGTTACGTACCCTTTGTTATTTATTTAGCAGAACAAACTGTAGACTACTATGGGCACCATATAATCTTTCAGTGACTTATGGACAACTGATATCGTCTTAGATCATTTAGGGCTCGCTTGCCCACCTACCCCTACGGTCTTCGGTCTCGTTTGTGTTCTGAGAGTGACCTAGAGCTGTTAGTTAGTGAATTACCATGTGGCATGTGGCATTATGCTCCAGTTAGTGGTTCCTCAACATGTGCACCTGTAGTAGAGTGTGACATTATGCTCCAGTTAGTGGTAGCTCAACATGTGCACCTGCAGTAGAGTGTGACATTATGCTCCAGTTAGTGGCACCTCAACATGTGCACCTGTAGTAGAGTGTGACATTATGCTCCAGTTAGTGGTAGCTCAACATGTGCACCTGTAGTAGAGTGTGACATTATGCTCCAGTTAGTGGTAACTCAACATGTACAATGTTAGTGGTTCACTTCACCATATCCAACATTAGTGACAAACTTAAAAAAAATAATGTCCAGTGATATGCCTTAACATATGTACTGTAACATGCTTCAACTGGTGAAAGTTAGCGGCACCCATAACATGCAATTTTTATTGTGCTTCAGTGTCATGTTGACCAACACGTCTCTCGTCACTGCTGATACCATCAAGTATGGTTGTATGTGTATGTCAATAGCAGTGGCTTGGAGAACATTAACCTTAACACACCCCCAGACACCTCATACCAAAACGCTTCAATAAAAAATCTTATATAAAAAATTCAGCTGTAGTGAGGAAGTGATGCTGCTAAAAAATAATGAAGAGCTGCAGTTGTTGCAATCAAGAAATAAATTTTCAATAACATTCTTCTTAATAAATAAAACTCGGTCTATCACACTCATGTATGGCACTCATGTAACTTAAGAAAAACTTCTGGATGTTCAGGCACAACAAGGTGACAAAAATCGTTGGATCTCTTCGGATGCATAAAATCAAAAACTTGATAAGAAACATACAATAGAAAAACTGTGCATTCATAGATACTGTACAAAAAGAGTTAGGCACAAACTTTGGGAGTTACGGAGGGAGAGATCCGGGCAGAACTTCAGCAGTCCGTACACAGCCTCTATGTTGCCAGCTTTCACTGCCCTGTGAAGAGCTGTATTTCCTGCAGGGAGAGAAACAATGGCATGCAAGTAACTGTTAGCGGGCACAAATTTCCTGCTGGGAGAGAAACAATAGCATTCAAGTAACTGTTAGTGGGCACAAATTTCCTGCTGGGAGAGAAACAATGGCATGCCAGTAACTGTTAGTGGGCACAAATTTCCTGCCGGGAGAGAAACAATGGCATGCAAGTAACTGTTAGTGGGCACAAATTTTGTATTTCTCTGAGGCTATTCACCAGTCTTTCTTAACGTGCTGTGATTGATATAACAATTAATGAAGTAATTATAACCTAAGTACTTGTTTCGGTATTGGGGAATATATATATATATATATATATATAGCTTGAAGAGTATGACCTCTTACTGAAGACCATGCTGGAAAAAATTGTTAACCTCTCCCTCAACGAATGCCAGTGGAAACAAGCCACTCTTCCTGTTAGGCTCAGTGGCTTGGGTGTCCGCACTGCTTCCCAAATTGCTGTCCCAGCCAGCACTCAGACCCAGCACTCACACCAGCCATGCCGAAAGCCAAGAAACAATCCAGCTGGGACAGCCCCATTGCAGACAAAGAAGCCACAGCTTTGCTGGAGGCAGCAACAACCCCCAGTGATCGTGCACGCCTCACAGCTGTGCAGGCTCCCCATGCAGGGGACTTCCTTTTGGCAGTCCCTATGTCTGCGATAGGCACACGTCTTGATCCGCAGGAGCTCCGTATTGCAGTTGCTCTCCGCCTTGCTGCCCCTATCCACACTGTTCATAGGTGTTTTTGCGGCGAGGCAGATGCTGACGAATATGGACTGCATGGCCTGCACAGTGGAAAATCTGGTGGTTGGCACACTAGACATGACGAAGTCAATGACATCATTAAAAGAAGCCTTGCCTCTGCTCAGTGTCCAGCGGAGAGAGAGCCCCGCAACCTACTGAACCGTGACTCTGTTAGCTTTGCCGGCCGACCAGATAGAATCACACTGCGACCGTGGAAGGGTGGCAGACAGTTGGCATGGGACTATACTTGTGTATCCACCCTGGCAACCACATACATCAACCTCTCTGCCGGCACAGCAGAAGCCGCGGCGACACGCAGAGAAAGAGACAATTCAGCCAAGTACAGGCAATTAGATCACCGGTACAACTTCGTTCCAATAGGGTCTGAGACCCTAGGCCCATGGGGAGAGAGTGCAAGAAGGTTTCTTAAGGATCTTGGTTCCAAGCTCATTGACACCACAAGAGACCCTAGAGCAGCAAGTTTTCTCTTTCAGCGCCTCAGTGTCGCGATCCAGAGAGGGAATGCCCGCTGCATCCTCGGTTCCTGCCCGGCGTCGGAGGTGTTCGAGGAAATCTACAGCCTCTAGGAAGCGAACTTTTTTTTGTGTCCTCTTAATGTTAATTTTTTTGTATAAAATCAGATATGTAACTGTATAACTTGCATAATAAAGTCTACACCATAAATATATATATATATATATATATATATATATATATATATATATATATATATATATATATATATATATATATATATATATATGCAATTGAGGATCAAGAAACACTGATAATTGGTATGCGAAAAAGCCACATAGAAATGGGAAAGGGAGATGGACGTTTCGGGTGATCAAAGTCATTGTCAACACCAGACTGACTGAGAAAAACAGAGCTAGGGTGGAGGCCAACAACTGCCTCCTAACCACCCATTCCAAGGAAAGGATTTACCCAGAAATATGTATAGATTAGCTTAGAACAGTCCGAAGGACCAGGCGGTAAGATAATAGGTATGAGAGATTAAACAAAACGGCCATTGAACAAACACATATTATATGATTATTATAATATAATGATACATTATAAGCACCCTATCAAAGTTTCTTCTTAAACTGTTGTGCAATATTGTAACTTAGTTAAAAAATGGTCACGTTTGTGCATACCAGTACTAACATTGAGAAGATTTGGGCACTGACAGATTAGGGCACATTCAATCAAATTCAATTCCTCGAAACCTCTGCAATTTTTAATGCTTTTCGCTCCTTCCCAATTAATAGTGTGCGCACAGATATTTGTGTGTACATGCAATGTATTACACGTTTGGGCAGTTAAAATGCTTTAAGCATGTTTTGACAAACGCACTTGTAATGATTTTCAAGTTTGTTCAAGGCACACAGACTCAAAATCATTGCAGGGAATCAAATACACACAATCTGCTGTTCCAGGGAAATTGTATTAAATTGAACTTGATCTTATTATTAATGAACACCAAATTTATATTAAAGTTCTTAAAAACCGGGAAAAGTTTTTCAATTCCTACCACATAAGGTACTACCAATGAGTTTCTAATTTCGCTTTGGGGACATGATTATAATACGTACGTTTAACTTGCCCGAACGAACAATCCAAAAACATCTTAGGGCATAGTAAATTATTCCCAATTTCATATATTTTGGTAATATCCTTATGAAAAAATTTCGGGGTTGCATACCCTCAAAGCTCGAAGGAATATTCCAGAAAATACTGCCTGTTTAACTTTACTATGATGATTCGAATGATAATGAACCTATGAGCCCACGTTGGAAAGTTTCCAATACACATTAAATTATAAACTTCTGTTGACTCTATGGATCATGATGTTCAAGAATGGAAGAGCAGCATTCTCCTCATTCTCACTAGTGAATTTTATTGAAGGCACCAAAGAATTAAGTTCATTAAGGGGGCATCAGTTCCAAATATGCAAAAAATATTCATTAAATGAAAACTAGTTCGATTTCAATCACACTTTTTTGACGAGTTGTATATGAAAAGGGTTTAATCTGCTTATAGTCTCAGCATCGTAGCATAAATAGGAAGGGAGAAAAAGTATTTAATTAAGTGTCAAAAATTTCCCAAAATGGTCAAAAATTTACATTAAACACATGTGTAAACGGAAATCATGTCTATGACTCTCAGCAATCACAATAGCATATAATAAAATATTTAATAATTATTTTTATCCCCCAAAAAATTTAGTTAATTTTTTTTTTAGTTTTTTTTTCCTTATTTGTTTATCGGTCGATTTACATGAAACTTATACACCTGACTGCACGTAAGCCTATCTGTAAGGCTGCCTATTTTGGAGGAAATTGGTTGATGTCAACCTCAGCCACAGATGGCAGCACCTTAGACTTTATTTTTTACTTATTTATTTTCAAGTAACATAAACGTTCACATAACTCTTTCAGTTTTTATTCAATTAACATGAAACTTACACCTTATATGTAGAGTTTAGGTTTCTACAATCTGATCTCGGGATTTGTTTCCTAAGTTCATGTATTGATTTTATAATAGTAATAAACATGATATATTTGCATAATTTATGAGGGGAACTTTGACTATTTGTACTAGTAAAACTAAACATATTTTGGAAAATCTGCTGAAATGTTATCCTTTATTATATGCTAATGTGATAGAAGAGTGTCATAAAAAGGATTTCATTTGAAGCTTGTCATTGTAGAGTCTTATTGAAAATGTGTAAACGTCGTTAAAAAATCTCCCTCTCTATTTAGGCTGCTATACTGTAGTTTGGAACAATTGCAGCCCTTTTCATACACAACTAGTCAAAAAAGGGTTATTGACATTGAACAACGTTTAAAAAACTAACTAGTGCTCTGTAAGAAAACCTGTTTGGTTGTAGTCATCCGGCCATAAGCCGGGTCACTACCATAAACACAAAATATCATCGACATATCTAAACCAAACTACATTAGCAGGGATAATCCTGGAAAAGATTTTTGTTTCAAAAACCTCCATATACAAATTGATCAAAACTGGGCAAAGGGAATTGCCCATTGTCATTCCAAATGTTTGTTTGAAAATTTTTCCATTGAAACTAAAATAATTTTCTTTCAGACACAATTTGATAAGTGCCAACACATTACTGGTCTGCAAGCTCAAATTACGTTTGAGCAGTTCCTATCGTAGGAATTCCAACAAATTATAACCAGGTACTTCAGTGAATAAAGCAGTCACGTAAAAATTTACAAGTTTAAAATCAAAATTTAAATATAGTGTGGGTAGCTTATTAACTAAGTCTACATTGTTTGTTAAGTGTGAGTTGGAAATAGTACAAAGTTTCTGGGACAAAACTTTAACAAGCCACTTAGAGAGTTTATAAGCCGCCGAACCAACTAACTAAAAATCCGTCTTGCCGGATTATAAGTTTATGTCTTTTTATAAGACAATATATGTAAGGTAAAGGAGGGAGATCGACTTGAATGCCTAGAGATAAACCCTTTATCACCTTTGCACACAGTTTTGAGAGTTTTATTTAAATGTGCAATCACTTTTTCAGTAAGATCTCTGTTAACCAGTAGATAAGTGTCTCTATCTTCCACAAGTAACTCCATTTTCCGGATATAGTCATCCATATTCATAATGACTACTGCATTTAACTTATCAGTCTTTGATATATGTAATGAGTTATCTTTTTTTAGATTTTAAATGCATGAATATATCGACTTGAACAATTATGAACAGAATTGTTAAGTGAAACACCAAAGGTGTTTTGCATGTTAATTATTTGCATGTTGCATGTTTTTGCACATGTTAATATCTTCAACTGAGACATCACTATACTTTTCAAGATTGCCAAAGGTTTCATCTTGCTATGCTCTTGCTATGCCTACTCGACACATCTCAGAACAAGGAGCTCCTTGTATGCTCGTCCGAGGTGCAGCTAAGTACCACACTCCGTGGGCAGATCAGCATCAGCCGTTGCCCAGCACACACGCTCACGATAGCTAGTTCGTGGTCCAATAGATATTATTATATTATGTTAATAAAGACGAAAAACGCTCCAGGTGTTAGTACGGCTTCCCTTCCCGCTGTCAAGAAAGCTGCAACCACATCAAACAACAATTAATACAGTTAACAGCTCAGTGGGATACAGCCGACGTACTCCAACTCCCGGCCCAGCTATCTGGTACAACTGCTTCACTGCAGCCAGCATCTTCGAAACAGCAGCTACAGCACAGCCGCCTGCTGGAGAAGGACGATACAGTGTGTATGTTTCCTGAACCACATGTACTAGTGCGCCGAGCCACAAGCCTCGTGCCCACTCTCACCCCTCACGCCCAGCCTCACGTCTCATGCCTATCCTCATGCCTCGCACCCAGCTTCACGCCTAGCCCCCAGCCTCACGCCCTCTCCCCCCGACCGTGACTCACCATGACTCACCACCTCTTGCCCGGCTTGATGCCACCCGACGCAGGGCCTGACGTCTCCTGCTGCGTCCCGACTCCGACGACGCCGCAGTACGACGCCAGACCTGTGACGACCTGATCATCCCTTCCTCGTTGAATGGATTGCAACACCAGTGGCCTTTAGATCTTGTTACGTACCCTTTGTTATTTATTTAGCAGAACAAACTGTAGACTACTATGGGCACCATATAATCTTTCAGTGACTTATGGACAACTGATATCGTCTTAGATCATTTAGGGCTCGCTTGCCCACCTACCCCTACGGTCTTCGGTCTCGTTTGTGTTCTGAGAGTGACCTAGAGCTGTTAGTTAGTGAATTACCATGTGGCATGTGGCATTATGCTCCAGTTAGTGGTTCCTCAACATGTGCACCTGTAGTAGAGTGTGACATTATGCTCCAGTTAGTGGTAGCTCAACATGTGCACCTGCAGTAGAGTGTGACATTATGCTCCAGTTAGTGGCACCTCAACATGTGCACCTGTAGTAGAGTGTGACATTATGCTCCAGTTAGTGGTAGCTCAACATGTGCACCTGTAGTAGAGTGTGACATTATGCTCCAGTTAGTGGTAACTCAACATGTACAATGTTAGTGGTTCACTTCACCATATCCAACATTAGTGACAAACTTAAAAAAAATAATGTCCAGTGATATGCCTTAACATATGTACTGTAACATGCTTCAACTGGTGAAAGTTAGCGGCACCCATAACATGCAATTTTTATTGTGCTTCAGTGTCATGTTGACCAACACGTCTCTCGTCACTGCTGATACCATCAAGTATGGTTGTATGTGTATGTCAATAGCAGTGGCTTGGAGAACATTAACCTTAACACACCCCCAGACACCTCATACCAAAACGCTTCAATAAAAAATCTTATATAAAAAATTCAGCTGTAGTGAGGAAGTGATGCTGCTAAAAAATAATGAAGAGCTGCAGTTGTTGCAATCAAGAAATAAATTTTCAATAACATTCTTCTTAATAAATAAAACTCGGTCTATCACACTCATGTATGGCACTCATGTAACTTAAGAAAAACTTCTGGATGTTCAGGCACAACAAGGTGACAAAAATCGTTGGATCTCTTCGGATGCATAAAATCAAAAACTTGATAAGAAACATACAATAGAAAAACTGTGCATTCATAGATACTGTACAAAAAGAGTTAGGCACAAACTTTGGGAGTTACGGAGGGAGAGATCCGGGCAGAACTTCAGCAGTCCGTACACAGCCTCTATGTTGCCAGCTTTCACTGCCCTGTGAAGAGCTGTATTTCCTGCAGGGAGAGAAACAATGGCATGCAAGTAACTGTTAGCGGGCACAAATTTCCTGCTGGGAGAGAAACAATAGCATTCAAGTAACTGTTAGTGGGCACAAATTTCCTGCTGGGAGAGAAACAATGGCATGCCAGTAACTGTTAGTGGGCACAAATTTCCTGCCGGGAGAGAAACAATGGCATGCAAGTAACTGTTAGTGGGCACAAATTTTGTATTTCTCTGAGGCTATTCACCAGTCTTTCTTAACGTGCTGTGATTGATATAACAATTAATGAAGTAATTATAACCTAAGTACTTGTTTCGGTATTGGGGAATTGAAATATTTGTGAGTGCTCGAGGAAAAATAACCACAATACAAAACGGAAAGAAATGATTTATTCCAATGAAAAAAAATCCTGTCACAAATGGAACGACTTGAAACAGAGAAATGTCGTCTATTTCTTTACTAGCCCCATTTGGGACTATTAGCTCTAACGTGCTCAATATTATGGCATATAGAAAATTGAACTAATAAAATAAATATACTATAAGAGCAAGGAGACTGGCAACTTGCTCATGAAGAGCTCTCCTGAATCAAAACAAAACTCCTTGAATGCTAACAAAATTGTCTTTGCCTTCACGCGACCACTTGAGGAATGTCAGCTCCCACGAATTCAATATATAGGGGAGGCAAACACATCCCTTTCAATACGCCTAACAATGCAGAAGCAGCAAGAACCTATTAAAGAACATATAGTCACTAAACATAACTAGACCATCACCAGATATATACTCATAAACAACACCAAAATAATCGTCAGCGACAACAGAAGACTGGACATCGGCGAGGCGTTATACATAAAGCACATCAAGCCACATATCAATAGCCAACTAGCACCACATTATACTCTTGTGGGAAAGATTTATTAATTTTATTTATTTAAATAATTAATAATACTGGTTAATTGTAAAATTAAATTATTTAAATATTTATTTCATAAAAGCTTAGTGAAATCTTAGTGGAGTGTATGTTAAAAATTTCGCACAAGTAGATCCACACAGACTTTAGGTGTTTCATATGTAAATTCAACTAAACTAACTTAAATCAGTTTGTTAAACTAAATAAATAATTCAGGTTATTTAAATTGACTAAGTGAATTGATTTAGTAATTATATGGAGCAACAGCTTATCTGGCTCAGAGGCTGTTACTCCAGTCTGAACACGTATGAGTCCCACAGGCTGGTTACTTCCACATAGACTATGTGGCTTGTGGCGTCACTTCCATGCAGCAATATGTCTAAGTTTAGAAACCCTTAACTCACTGTTTAAATGTAGTTCCAACCTCAGCCTGCCCGAATGTTACATTGTAAAAAATGCATGCAACATTTACAGACATATAAGTTCAATATGCAATTTATTTGTGAAAAAGTCTTACCCACTGTGGTCGGCTGCCGGTCATACCTCTAACCATGAACTACACTTGTAAGAAAATGAATGGGCTCTCTATGTGCTAGAACCGGAAACAAGATACTTCCCGATAATTGACGATGTCAATTATCGAAGTATAAGTTGAAAATATCACACGATTTTACGAGAACTCGGGGAACAAACACAGCGTGTGACTCGACTTGGCAAATAATACGGCTGCTCTCTCAATCCTCCCTCACTCGTTTTGTTTGAGAGATAATTTATACTTTTAGGGAAGGAGTGATATTGATTTTGTATTTATTGCTATATATTTTAGTTAAATATATGTAATGAAAATAAGCATCAATCTGTTCTCAGACTGTATAAATAATATTTGTAAATAGACCCATATTCGGGTTATTACATATAATTTTGGTGACATCACAGTTCATATGCTTTCATAATGAATATATATAAATTAATTACATCCTCCTATTTAAGAGAAATTTAACTTCAAATTTATTTTAATAATTTTATGAAACAGAAAATTTATTTTTTCTGGATTATATGTAATTAAATAATAATTAAATAAATTTTAATAATCTAGGAGGGGGAAATTACCACATAATTCTGGGAGGGAGAATACATGTAGGATTCCACTATTTAGGACTCGCTGAACACTTTATTACTCCTCATCAGAATTATTAAAATATTGTTTTAATTTTAATGTGCACTTGTGTGTGGCATTACATACAGGATGGATGTCCCTTATTATAGTTGAGAGTTGTGTAGGTCTCTTCATGACTTCTTCTCCAGCCAACTCCAATAGTGCTAGCTTTTCTACTGGCATGAGGCTAGTGGGGGCTTTGTACTTCACTTTTACTATCTTCAAGAGTCCTTGGCTATCTGGGTGAACAGAGACAATACGGTCTATAGGGCACTCTGAGCATGTGCTTTCGCTGTCCACCAGAACAACATTGACAGGTTGTAACTGTATTATGTTACAGGGGTTGGTAGCCCCATAGTAATAATCATGCAGAGCAGGTAAATACTCCAGATCCCAAACTTCATTCCACTGACTGATTATTCGCAACAGATCTTTATGACGCTGAACAAAGTCGCTCTCCCCAATGTATGAAGGATCTCTTGGGTCCTCATCAGTGAGGGTCGCAAAAAGGTTGAGAGGTTCTCCATACATCAGATGAGATGGACTAAGTGACTCATGTTGTGAGATGTCATCAGAAAGGTAAGTCAGCGCTCGGTTATTGCCTCTGGATTCAATTTCCGTGACAACGGTGTGGAGTTCTAGTTTTTTTAGCATTGCAAGGTTTTCCTTATACAGCATTTCACTGTCCCAACAATTCTCTCATCCAACACTCCATGCCACGTTGCTCTGGTTGGTATAAATTTCCAGTAGCACTGCCGTTCATTCAGGGTAGTGCAAACAACTGGGTGTTCCCAGATCTCACTCAGGCATGTTTCATACGCCACCAAATTGGATCTGTTGTCAGATATCATCAAATTAGGGCAAGATCTGCGTGCAGAAAAACCTGGATAAATAGTCGCACAAGTATAAAGACAAATGTAGGCCTTAACAGGGATTTTATCCCTGGTGCCAGTTAGGGTTATAGCCTAACTGAATAATATTTAAATGCTAATGTCACAAAAAGGTTAGAATATCTATTACCCCCTCCCCCCATGAACAGTGCAGTGTTCGGGAATGTAAAGTACAAGCAATCTGCTTTTCCAATGATTCTGCATGAGGAAACAAGAATGTTTTACTTCAAGATCAACATCTTTGTGCTGTAATCTGTGAGAAGTCCTTGTGAAACGCTTTTAGGCATGAGACCATAAATAGAAAAAGAAGAAAATGAACTTTGGAGAGTTAATTTTTCTATTACCCTCGACAGTGAAGAAAAACGTAAGAAATACCTAGTAGCCAGAACGCACTTCTCGGCCTACTATGCAAGGCCCGATTTGCCTAATAGGCCGAGTGATTTTCTTTTTTTTCAATAAAATGTTTCTTATTGGTTTATTTTAAATATCATTATTATATTATATTAGGAACATAAATTACTTGTTTAGTTATGTTAGAAAGAAAGAAAAGAGAAAGCACATGTTTCTAATATGTTTAATTTTACAATGCTTGTAGGTATACAATATGTTTTCTTGTTCAATTGTCTGTGGAGATATAGAGATTGTCTGGTTTGCCGACTTTAGAACACACAAAATATAATTGTCCATGTGAGAAGCTATCCGTGTCTAGATATAAACTGCACAATTGTAAAGATTAGATCTGAGCTTTATTGATGGAGATTGCAAACGCCAATCGAATTGGAAATTACAATCTCCTAACTGAAATGGCATATCAGTGGGAATCATAGAAATGCGAGGAATAAGGACATCTTCACCTTTGAAAA